TTAAGCTCAGTCTGAATGGCGACTGTGGGAAGACTGGGATGATCATATCAGGCAGAGGGAGGAGCTGTTACAAAAGTCTTAAGCAGGGAATAAACTCTGTGTTTTTGAACTGGCAAAGACCAGTGTGGCTGAAGTGCAGTGGGTGAAAAGAGGGGCAGGAGATGCAACAGGGAGAGAGGCAGGTGCCAGACCTAAGTGAGGCCCACAAGCTTCAGAGCGGTGAGCTGAGAGACTGGCTAAGAGTTTGATATGACATTAGGAAAAGGACTGTGTTAGGTGATGAGGAAGTCATTTGGGAGATATAGGCAAAATACAGATTCTGATAATCCCTGCATGGAGGATCTGGGAGGCATTATTTCTGCTCAGGGCTTTGCAGAGACTCCTAGGAAGGCCATAACTAAAGTCATTCAAAGAAAACCTTTCATGTGTATGTGTTCAAGGAAGGTCTGAATACTGAGTCTTATCTCTATTACTTGCTCTCAAATCAAAGTCATCAACACACAGACCATGAGAAGTTAGAACTCTTCTCAGGTGTGCCCCTAAATTCTAATTAATGTAAAATTTATTTTTGCAACATTTGAGTATACTTACCCTGATGGTGATTTCTGTTTGATGGGATGTTAAACTAAGTTGTTTTATAAGAGGAAAATATATCTTACTATGACTGAAATGTTGAGGCAGCACGTAATGTCATATTGGTAACAAACATGTGATATCTATTTATTAGAGCATGAGAGAATTTTGCCTTCTGGTATATGAGGCAGACATTGCTGTTTGCCTACCTTATATCAATGGTTTCCCCTTCATTCTTAACAACAGAACCTCAATTTTGTTTGCCAATGAGCCCAACCAAAAATACTTGTCTTCCTTGCAGCTAGGGAGCATCCTGTGACACAGTTCTGGTTAACATACAGGTGGAAGTTCCTAGGGAGGGTGTTCTCTCCTGAAGAAAAAGGCAAAGTCTGGAGAAATCCCCTTTTTCTGGTTCCCCTTTGTGCATTCCCTTCCTTCCCGGTATTTGTAATAATTGAGTGATTCAATGCTTGGAGTCTTCTAATTTCTTTAAACATGCTGGGGAGGACAGTCTTTCCTTAATGAAAAGGCAAAGTCTGGAGAAAGCCCCTTTTCCTGTTCCCCTTTGTGCTTCCCCTTCCTTCCTGGTATTTGTAATCATCTAGTGACTCAATATTTGGAGTCTTCTAATTTCTTTAAACTTGATGCAAAACAGTATGTGGAGCTGAAGACCCCTGTCCCATGAGGAGTTGGGCTAAATCTTTGTGATACTTGTATTGATCTGGAGCTAAACTGTGGGCATAAAACTATAGTAAGGCAATTTTTGTCACAGGTACAGTATCTTTCAGAATTCATTTTACTGAAGGGTTTACTTCACATATGTAATGATACGTAGTTTCTCCCTTTCCTTGATCCAGAATATAGGTTTGTATGTATAATGTATGTATGTATGTAGTGATACATAGTTTCTTCATTTCCTTGATCCAGAAAAATCAAGTCAACAATTATTATTATTTTTTTTGAGATGGAGTCTCTGTCTGTTGCCAGGCTGGAGTGCAGTGGTGCGATCTTGGCTCACTACAACCTCTAACTCTCTGGTTCAAGTGATTCTCCTGCCTCAGCCTCCCAAGTAGCTGGGACTACAGGCATGTGCCACCATACCCAGCAAATTTTTGTATTTTTAAGTAGAAACGGGGTCTCACATGTTGGGCAGGATGGTCTCAATCTCCTGATGTGATCCGCCCGCCTCTGCCTTATACAGTACTGGGATTACAGGTGTAAACCACAGCGCCCAGCCAACAATTATTTCTTAAATGTTCATTTCACATATATATATATGTATATATATATATGTTACATTTGAAACTGAAATTATAGTCAGCATATATACATGCTGCATATATATATATATATATATATATATATATATGCTGACTATAATTTGTTTCAAATGTAACACTTCTTTTTGTTCCATAAGTGATACAGAAATGATGAAAACAAGATTTTTTTCAAGTTCCTGGGTCTGTAAATTAAAAAAGAAAGAAAAAAAACAAATGAAAAAGAAAACAATATTTTTGTTCTTGGGAAGCTGGTAATTTCATGAGATGACAGATGTGTTCATAAATAAATGTAAAACAAGTATGTACATGATGTGGTGGGCCATGGCCGGGCTGCCAAAGAAAAACTGAGAGAAGGCAAGTGATATGAAAAAAAAGCCCCTGCCCCAAATGCAAAGCACACATTTCCAGGCCTGGAACCTGGACGTTAGGCCCTGGTGATGTGGCTAGCAAAGTAGCAAAACTATTGCCTTGTGTATAATATAAGTTATTTCTGGATGATGAAGAGCCTTGTTGTAAAAGTTACTGAGCCTACAATTCTATGAGATATCTCATTCCATGTCGGCCCTGTCACTGAGTTGCAGTATGCCTCTACCAGATAGATACAAGGAGTCAGTGGGAGCTGCTTCCTCCCCTACAACCTGCCTCTGTATCTGGTTTCTGTGCTTTGTGCAGTTTACTGGCTGCTTCAGGATTAAACAAAGTAAAAGCAACCATGAAATGTTGTCCATTAAATAGCATCTTGGAATAGACCATGTGGGAGGTAGTAAGTGCCACTAGGGCATTATTAGGACGCATGACAAATAGTTGTGAGGAGGAAGAAATAATTCTGGCTGGAGGCTTCAGGAAGATGAAGCCTTCCTGATCACCTTCATGAAGGCTTCATGATCTAGCATGAGCAAGATCTTGAAAGGTGGATAAAATTTCTTAAGGTGAAGATGGGAGGAAAGGCATTACAAGAACAGGAAAGAATATGAACGAGGAAATGGAGGTAGGAGAACAGAGCTGTGTGTTGGAAACGAAAAGCAGTCCTGTTTGGCTGAAGAACAAGGACTGTATGAGGAAGCAGTGAAAGATGAGGCTGGAAAGGGAGTCAGGGGCCAGGCTAAGAGGGTTGGCATTTAATATATTAGTCATGGGAGCCATGGAATGTTTTGAAGCAACTACTAAAGCAGGTGGATTAGTAAAATAGGGGACACACAAATAAATCTGGCAGCATTACTGTGCATGAAACATGGATGAAAAGATTGGGAGATCGCTTAAAATGCCCAGGCATGAACTGAGGTCATGTGTGATCACAGAATAGGACAGGAATTTAAGAGTGTTATTTTAAAACTAATTGCTTTGCGGGGGGGGTGGGGGTGCATCAAAGAGAAAAACAGACCATGTATGAATTCGAGTTTTGGAATTTAACATATGGGATAATAATAAATAGTACAGTGAACACACAAAAGGAAGATAGGAAGAAGGAAACATAATTATTTGTTTCAGAGATATTGGGTTGAGGTACAGGTGGAACATTCTGGTGGAAATGTGCTACAGGCAATTGAAAATAAAAGAATGGAGTTCAGCTGAGAGGTGGGGTGGCAGATGACTCACCTACATTGAGGTGAGTCAGGGACTTTGATCTGTCATAAGCATAGTATAGGAACCTAATAACAGGCTCCAAATACTTGACAAATGTCCTAGCAAGGAAGACTGAGATCTAGGAGTGCCGTGAGAAAAAAAAGGAACACTGCGATTATTGATACTTATAACTCATGTTTGTTTTACCAGCTGTTAAGTTCTCAGAAACTCTTACCCTCAATTGACCTCCCAACGGGCAGGTAATATTGTTAAGGGCCACATTCCTGTATAGAAACCCAGGACACGGAATCACCATATATTCTTAGTCTAGAATCAGAGATATACACGAACTCCACAACGAAGAAGACGAAAGCATCCCTTCTTTGGGGGCCTGGGGGACACATAACCCTGAACCACGGTCCAATTACAGGTACAGTACTGATGATCGCTTAACTAGTTGAACAACTAAAACCACGGAAATGCTCCCCAGGAGAGGTAAGGCTGTGCCCGGCAGGGGCCCGCAGGGAGGTAGAGGAAAGGTTAAGGAGAACAGGAGCCTCGGGAGAAAGAGGAGCAAAGGTGACTGCGTAGGTGCCAGCTGGAAGCCGGCTCTCGTCATCGAGCGTACTTGCCCCATTGCGCATCGCCGGTGCCTACCTCACCCAGTTCCAAGGCGGGGGCCGCGCCGAGGCAGGGGTGGGGTCACGGGGAAAAAGCAAGTGGGCAGAAAAGCCCGTTGGTAAGAGAGGGCTGGGAGGAGGCCCCGGCTCCAGCCTTACTACGTTTCCCAGAATTCAGTGAGGCCATGAGGACGGACTCTCCGGGCACCGAGGGAAGACTTGCCGCATGGGATTTGTAGGCAGGATCCGCGCCCCGCCCTAAGGAGGAGTCGAGTGGGGAGGTGTGCAGGGATTGGCTGAGGAGCGCTCGAGTCCCGCCCACACATGGTGACGACAGGCGGCAGTCTTGCTACTTAAGGCGTCGTGGCCTCGACCGCCCCGCCTTAGCTCCCGCGCTAGAGAGAAACATGTATCGTTTCCGATCACAGCTCTTCACGGGGATTTCTGCTGCCGCCACTGCCCACTCTTACCCCCGCCGCTTCTCACCTCTGTTGTTAGCCGAAGACTCGCCTCTCAGCCGCCCGCCGCACAGACGCACGAGTAAAAAGTGCAGCTCCATCGGCTGATCCTCGCTAAGCTCAGACTCTAGGCGGCACCGGGCGTCCCACGATGCCGAAGAACAAGAAGCGGAACACTCCCCACCGCGGTGGCAGTGCTGGCGGCGGCGGGTCAGGGGCAGCTGCTGCGACGGCGGCGACAGCAGGTACGGGGTATCCCCGCCGCCGGCATCCCGGTTACCGGCCAGACCTGCGAGTCTCCCATGCTTGGGCACAGTGGGAGTTGTAGTTCTCTCTCTGCTGTACACGTTTGCGTTTCCAGGATGCGTGGTTTGGCTACTGAACTACAATTCCCAGCGTGCCTTGGGCGCCGCGCATCGCGCGATTTAGATCTGGCGTGCGAACCGGACTCTTGGGCACCGGCCTTGGGGGCGGGGAGGAATGGGTCCGTGCGCCTGAGAGTGTGTGGAGACGGGCTGACTGGGAGCTGGGCGAGAAAGGAACTATCTTTAGAGTTCCTTTCTATGCGGCGACTTCGCCCGACCTTCCCCCAACCACGAGTAGGGCAGAGCTGGGAGTTGAGTCCGTCCTGTCACTGGCCGCCGTTGACCCCGCGGCTCCAACATGGAGCTCCCGGGGATGCCAAACGTCCGGCGGGTTTGGAAAGGCTCTTGCGTCACGCGGCCTGCGCCTTGCGCCGTGTGCCCCGGGTGACGCAGAGGCGCTGGAGAGGCTTTCCGTCCCGCGTGTCTACCTGACCAGGCGGAGGCGTCGGAGGCCGGGAGCCGCTAGGCTGTGCTCCTGCCCCTAACTGGCACCTGCAGAAGCCCCTATCCTCCAGCCTCTCTGCGACCAGCCGAGGCCACCTCTTGTTCCTGGAGGAAAGAAACGCGTTCTCTTTGTGCTGCATTCTATATGTTCTCTGCAGTGAGCCCCAAATAGGCAGGGTGGTGAAGAGCTCAGGTTGCAATTGGCTAAAAGTTGAGGTTATTGTGCCCTCGCTATGAAGTTGAAGCTTTTCCTGGATGGGATGGGTAGGTGCTTAACTGAATTTATGGTTTTCTACTTATCATATGGATTCCAATTGGAAGGCCCTTCTAGGAGAGACCCCACTAAACTCAAATGGAATATTAAACTGGGTAATACCATTTTATGCAGAAATTTAAACAGGAGTTAAATCTTGGAGTATTTTCCGACGTCATCACACTGGAACTGTTAGCCATTAGGTATTTTTGGACACAGCTGTCACTCTCTGCCACGGTGGCCGCTCAGAATGATATGCCTTTGTTCATAAGAAAAGTAAATATGCAGGTTATCTTTTTAAAGTTTATTGGAAACTGGCATTTAAAAAGCTCAAAAACTCATCATGTATTAAACCATTTAATAATTAACAATAGGGAGGGATTCTTAACAGCATTTTTTTCCAGTTTTTTAGGTGCCTCTTTATTTTGAATGCTCTTCATGTTCATGAAATTCATTCTTTATTAAGATGTAGAATATGTAATTAGTTTATTGTGGCCTCTGGTTGCTCTATGTGAATTGAAGATACTTTTAAGGGAAAGGGGGGGTCTGGCTGTGTCGCCCAGGATAGAATGCAGTGTGGTGTGATCATAGCTCACTGCAACCTCTTAATTCCTGGGCTCAAGCAGTTCTCCCTCCTCAGTCTCTTGTAGCTAGGACTCCAGGCATGTGACACCACTCCTGGCTAATTTTTAAATTTTTTGTAGAGACAAGGTATATGTTGGCCAAGCTGGTCAGGAGCCCCTGGCCCCCAGGGCTCCTCCTGCCACGGCCTCCCACAGTGCTGGGACCATGCGTGGCCTGAGGATACTTTTTACCACTGGGTTTTAGCTTTGCCTCATCTGAATCAAACATTTGAATTTTGTCTAGAAGATATTCATTTTATTGTTTTACCCTTTTGTTGATGAAATGGAAATAAAGAAGCAGAAAGCAAAAGTCATTTTGAAAGTAGTAACGATGTTAGCAATGGCCTCAATCACCCGCAAACCTTGATTCCGGTCTAAAGTTTCCGGGCGAGCCTCCTTCCCTCTTCGTGCTTCCAGTACCTGTATATACAGGCCCCTGGTGGCTGTGTGGGGATTGCCTTTTAAATTTTGCCTCAAAGCTCATTTGTGACCTTTCATCGTCTTTATAGCTGCTACCTTTTCACTGAAAGATCCATTTCACCACTGAATTTTGGCATATGTAAACAAATGGAAAATAATTCTTTGATTAATTTAAAACACTACACGTGTTTTGAATATCTTTGGAAGTGTGTGCTAGAATTTGTTAACTGTGGTTGCCTCTCAGAAGTGGAACTGGGGGCGTATGGGGATGAGATTGACTTTTTAACTTTAACTTCGTCCTATGTGAATATTTACTAAATAATGAATAAATAATAATCGAGTAGAAGAGATGGAAAATTGCACAAACTTTTGCTTACTTACAAGCCACTTACCTAATTGGTATTTTTAAGTGACATCAAGAAGAAGTGGAATTCAAATGAAGTCTGCACTATATAACCAAATTGTCTTTATTAATGAGTTTTCCATTTAAAGTCTTTATTTTTTATGTTAGTAGAGAGTTCTAGGAAGCTAATAAAATTGACTTCTTTTGTACAGGTATGTCATAGCACTTAATTCAAAGAGAATATTTTCAAGAAAGTACAAAACCTTGTTAATGAGCCCTCTAGAAATAAGTACTTTATCTGCCTAGAGTACCATCTCTTTAATGGTACTTAGGTTCACAAGGTGAGTGAGTTTGACCTAGATATCAGGCATTTATAACAGCGTTCTTTTTCTTGAGTTATATATGTTTATGTATGTATGCATTTTTTTCTTTCCCTTGAATCTTAGAAATCATTAATACCGATGATTAGGGGAACACAGTAAGAGCTGCATAGGAGGAATACTCTTAGAAAGAGGCTGTGAAAAAGAAAAACTGTGAACTGACTTGTGAATAAATGTAAAATTAATCAGATGACACTCATCTATTGCCATGACTTCAGTCATAAAAATGAGGAAGACAGATCCAGAAATAGAGTATGATATCATAGTTTTTTGTTTATTCTTGTCCTAAGCACTCTAAGAAATTTTGAGATTTGGCTTCATTACTTAATCTTTATGCTTTACTACTTTGGCACCACGCAAGCAAATGTGAAGTCCACTTGCTTGTTATGTTTCGATTTAAAAAAAAAAAAAAAGAGACAACTCCATAAAACAACAAAAAAACAGCCCAACAGTCACAGGCTTAAATTTAGAAGATTAAAAAAACAAAACCCTTAAGATGGTGACTTTTGAACATAGGAACTTTGATTTCGAAAAGAAATTAGGTTCAGAGGTTAATCAAATGACTCAGGGTCACTTTTGGGGCAGAATTTGGGACTTAATTTAACTTAGTGCTGAATGTAGTTCATGACTGGGCAGTCCTTTTATTAATACATAATCCCTAAGTGACTGTATATTTATTCCTGAAGTTAATGAAGTTGAAAGAAAGATTCTAGTTTAAAAAAAAATTTTATTTTTTTAGTAACAGCATTGGTACTTTTCTTTCAAGACAGAGTTTCACTCTTGTCACCCAGGCAGGGAGTACAATGGCATGATCTTGGCTCACTGCAACCTCGTCCTGGGTTCAAGCGATTCTTCTGCCACAGCCTCCGGAGTAGCTGGGACTACAGGCACACACCACTACACTAGGCTAATTTTTGTATTCTTAGTAGAGACGGAATTTCACCACGTTGGCCAGGTGGGCCTCAAACTCCTGACCTCAAATGATCCACCCACCTTGGCCCCCCAAAGTGCTAGGATACAGGCGGGAACCACTGTGCCCATCTTCATATCAGTTTTTGTGTCATAAACCATGAGTGCCTCTTGTTGGGAGACTGATGCGTATAGTTGTTGTATCATTGGCGCTTTGAAATGCATACTGGGTGTATTTAATACTATTATTGTATACTAGGTGTATTTTAACTGACTTGGTTTAGGAATATTTAAGTATGTTCATTTGTGATACAGTTATCTCTTTTTCTAAAATGTCTGGTTTTATTACTGGATTTATCTTAAGTAAACTTAAAAATTCCAAAGTTTGATATTTAAATATATGGCAATTAAATAATTTACCTCTTTCCTCTTTTACCTACTAGGTGGCCAGCATCGAAACGTTCAACCTTTTAGTGATGAAGATGCATCAATTGAAACAATGAGCCATTGCAGTGGTTATAGCGATCCTTCCAGTTTTGCTGAAGATGGTATGAGTTTTAAATTTAAATTTGGAACTTTAGAGAAAATGTTTTAGATGGAAGAATTCTTGTAGCTGAGGTATACTATTATTCCGTCTGCCTTTTTTCTTTTAAATTACAGTGGTTGGTTTATATTATTTCTTAGGACCAGAAGTCCTTGATGAGGAAGGAACTCAGGAAGACCTAGAATATAAGTTGAAAGGATTAATTGACCTAACCCTGGATAAGAGGTAGGCATTACTGGAAACTCCATTCTGTGTGATTCTGTGCTTGATCTTAGTCAAAAGCTAAGAGAAGTGAGTATTCTGCGTGATTCTGATCAGCTACCTTACATATATATAATTTGTGCAGCTCTTTTTTTTTTTTTTTTTTTGAGTTGGAGTTTCCCTCTTGTTACCCAGGCTGGAGTGCAATGGCATGGTCTCGGCTCACCGCAACCTCCGCCTCCTGGGCTCAGTCAATTCTCCTGCCTCAGCCTCCTAAGTAGCTGGGATTACAGGCATGTGCCACCACGCCCAGCTGGTTTTTGTATTTTTAGTAGAGACGGGGTTTCACCATGTTGACCAGGATGGTCTCGATCTCTCGACCTCGTGATCCACCTGCCTCGGCCTCCCAAAGTGCTGGGATTACAGGCTTGAGCCACCGCGCCCGGCCAATTTGTGCAGCTCTTAGATAATAGCAATATATTTTTCTTAAAGCTTAGTATGTTTGCTTTGGATAATGTTTCTTGTTCTGTTGGACTTTAATGTGGGGAGTAACATGCCATTAGAATTTAGATTGAGTCAGATTAGTCATTGTTCCAGCATAATAGCATATACGTAATTATATTTGATTATAATAAAAATGAATTTGTTGAATTAAAAGTTAATCTTCAACCAGAAATGATAATGAAAGCTTGCTTTAAGCTGCTTGTCCGCTAATGTTATTATGATATGAAAAAATATCAAAGCTTATTGTTTTTCTTCACTATAGCTCCTGATCTGACCTTAATAGAATTAAAAAGCCCTGAAGATACAATTCTAGACTTTTGTAGTTTTTTTAAAAAGTGTAAATTTACTTAAATGTGTAATATAGGAAAACACTGCATTGAAGTTATACTTGTTGATTGAAACAATAAAATATTATGAAGGCATTTAAAGTTGTGGCTATCAAACTAAGAAAAATGCTATGATATAAAGCAGCCTAAGTGTTTTGTGTATTAAGGCGAGTCATAGATAGATATTAAACTATATTATTGACAGATGTTTAGAGCTTGATGACAATGAGATTTAAAAAGTCTACACATAGATAAAGTTTAGAAGGAAATAAGTTAGATTTTAAAAAGTTATTTATTATATACTCCATCTGGATCTTTCTCCTACATTGGGTTTTAAATAGTGCGAAGACAAGGCAAGCAGCTCTTGAAGGTATTAAAAATGCGCTGGCTTCAAAAATGCTGTATGAATTTATTCTGGAAAGAAGAATGACTTTAACTGACAGTATTGAACGCTGCCTGAGAAAAGGTAATGGCTTTATTTTTAAGTCACAGACACAGAACTAATAAGGAGTGCATTACCTATTTTTCAGTAACATTCAGTAATGGCACTGGAATACTGGCCCACTCTTAAAACTTTCTAATAGTCAAGGAGTGTACCATCTTGTTATAGTTCAGAATGAGACTTGTTTTTGTTTTATGTAAAAAAAATAGCTTGAAACTAAGAAGGATTGGGGTTGATTGTCATCATTCTTTTTTGTATCAGAAAAGGTGATTGTCATTCTTTTGTTATGCCAGAGAAGCTTGAAAGTGTGTGTCAGATAAGCTTGTAAGTGTATGTCAGACATTAGCTCATTTTTCCCTTGCACTTATTTAAAACATTGATTGTACCTGTAAATTACATCATTTTCAGGATATCCCTTGGAATATTTGAATTCTAGAACTTCATAATAGAAATTCTGGAATACAAATTGTTACAGTGATAGAATTTTTTAAAACCAAAGAGAGATCTTAAAGATAATGTCATTAGATCTTAAAGTTCAGTGTTACCAGGCTTAGAAGTTTTAGGAACCACCAAATTTAAAGAGATTAGTGACCAGGCATGGTGGCTCACATCTGTAATCCTAGCATTTTGGGAGACCGAGGTGGGAGGATTGCTGGAATCCCGGAGTGGGAGACCACCTGGGCAACAAAGCAATACTTGGTTTCTGTTATAACAAAACAAAATAAGATTTGGTGTCTGCCAACTTACTCGGCCAAGTAAGAACATTATGAAAATAAGTATCTTCCATTATCATTATTTTATTAGCAAAATATTCTAGCACCAAAATGTAGACATACACTTCTAAAAAACTGAATGAACTAAGCCTTACGTCCTTATTTTTTCATTTTACCTGAGAGTAAACATTTTGTTGTAAGTGAAACCTTTGATAAAATTCACCTGTTCCATTGTATAGAATAAAAGAGGCCTAGGAAAACTGAGGTGGGTGTGTTTAAATATGTTGTTATTGGTATAGGTGATAGCAGAGCCAGCTTTTTAAAGATAACACAATGGCTCTCTTAAAGGTGTTTCAGATTCAAACTATATGCTATAATGGTTGTTGGACTAGATGACCTTTAAAAATTCCATTTTAGTCTGCATTTTTTATAAATTTTTAATTTGTTAGGTAATAGTTTAAGTTTAGTGTTTGCCCTGTACTTGGGGTATATACAGGTTTTTTTTTTTTTTTTTTTTTTTTTGAGACGGAGTTTTGCTCTTGTTACCCAGGCTGGAATGCAAAGGCGCGATCTCGGCTCACCGCAACCTCTGCCTCCTGGGTTCAAGCAATTCTCCTGCCTCAGCCTCCCGAGTAGCTGGGAATACAGGCGCGTGCCACCATGCCCGTTAATTTTTGTATTTTTAGTAGAGACGGGGTTTCACCATGTTGACCAGGATGGTCTCAATCTCTTGACCTTGTGATCCACCCGCCTTGGCCTCCCAAAGTGCTGGGATTATAGGCGTGCGCCACCATGCCCAGCCTATACAGTTCTTAAGAGTTAAGTTATATTTGCCTTTATATAAATGTATTTTTTGCATGACTGCATGCCAGCTTGGATGACAGTGAGACCCTGTCTGAAAAAAAAAGTTAATAAATTCAAATGTAGTCTAATTAATATGTTTTTTATGGTTTTAAAGAGTTGTTTATTTTTAATCCCTTCTTTATTAAAAAAAAATTTTGGTGGGGAAACCCTGAAGGTTTACCTGATGGACTGTGTACATCTGAAATGCTTAGGAGAGTAATTCAAAGGCAATTTGAGCACTGTTTACATCAGTACATTAAGGAGGTTGAAGACAGAAATATGCTTGAAGTACGTTTAGTTGAACTGTTAAAGTACTCCCAGAAAATAAATACTAATCTTCATATTACAGATGAGGAACTCTGTTTAGAGGATAAGAGTAATCAATGGTCATTTGGCTAATAAATGGGATCTAGGATTTGAGTGATGTCTGTCTGTCTGTACAGTTGGAGCTTGTTAGCCTGAAGTTTGTAACTTATGTCAAAGCCTGGCGCATAGGGTTTCAAAAATGGTAAATGCTATTTTGTCATTGATCAAATTTGGGAAATTACTGTCTTAGTAAGTTAGACTACCATGATTGCATCTTGGCTGCTTTTATAGGTAAGAGTGATGAGCAACGTGCAGCCGCAGCATTAGCATCTGTTCTCTGTATTCAGCTGGGCCCTGGAATTGAAAGCGAAGAGATTTTGAAAACTCTTGGACCAATCCTAAAGAAAATCATTTGCGATGGGGCAGCTAGTATCCAGGTTAGGCAAACTGTAAGTATAAGGTATTTACATTTACAGATCTGTCTAGTCATGACACCCAGACATGGTGCACCTATAGTACCATACTAGCTACTCAGGAGGTTGAGTCAAGAGAGAGGATCCCCGATGTCCAGGAGTTTGAGACAGCAGTGAGCTATGATCACACCCCTGAACTCTAGCCTGGACAGCAGAGCCAGACGCTGTATCTTTAAAAAGATAATTCTGGTTGGGCGCGGTGGCTCATGCCTGTAATCTCAGCACTTTGGGAGGCCGAAGCGGGTGAATCACGAGGTCAAGAGATCGAGACCATCCTGGCCAATATGGTGAAACCCCGTCTCTACTAAAAATACAAAAATCTTAGCTGGGCGTGGTGGCACGCGCCTGTAGTCCCAGCTACCCGGGAGGCTGAGGCAGGAGAATTGCTTGAACCCGGGAGGTGGAGGTTCCAGTGAGCCGAGGTCATGCCGCTGCACTCCAGCCTGGCACATGGTAACAGAGTGAGACTCTGTCTCAAAAAAAAAAAAAAAAAAAAAAATTCGATGTGGATTTGGGTAGACATAGGAAACTGAAATTCTGACTTGCGAAATAATCTTCTAATTTTGGGGTTTGAGAAAGCTTTCATTCTCTAATAGTTGATATTTACCGCATAACACTTGGCTTTAGATTTTGGATTTTTGAGGTTTTTATTTTTTTGGTTTTGGTGTGCTAATAAGTGATAGAAATGATCATATGGACATGTTTTACTGTGTCAAAGAAACGTCTGAGATGGTCTTAGTGGATTTGGAAAAATAACGTGATCTTAAGCTGTTTTTTAAACAAGTGAATCAGTTTTAAGCTTGAAACATTTTAATACTTCTAGTATTGATTATTCAAATCAGATTCCTTTTAGTATTACTTCAGGTAAGTAACATTAATCTTGGTCTAAGTAGCTTGGTAAAAATTTATTTCTTGTTTTTATCATCACCACCCAATGCAAGTTGGCTGGAACCCCAGGCCTCCATTGCAGCTCCGCCCACCTCTAGGTCCTCTCCATATGGCAGCTATGGCAGCACGGTAGCTAGGTGGCAGACTCAGCCAGAGCACTTCATTTTTGCATCCAGTTCCTTGGTTTACCAGCCATATGGAGGCAGAGAATAGTCCAGCTGTTTGCCCTGGAGGCCAAGAAATTGGAGTTTGATGACTTTGTAGTAATCTCTGTGCCCTCCAGTAGTTAGTAATCCTAAAATATTTAATTAGCTTTTGCCTCTTTTTCTTTTCCTCTTTTTGGGTGAATTTATGCAACTTTTAAATCATACGGAACTATGGGTGTAATTTCAAAGTACTAGAATGACAGAAAACACTGCTGGGTAGATATTTGGAGCAGTCACTTAATTTTGGTTGTATACGAGTTTGTTGGTCATTTAAAGGCGTTTTCTTTTTCATGCTTTTGAGTTGCTGTGAATTTTTAAAAAACCTCTTCAGCCTCCCCATGTAGCAGATGGAATCCTTATAAAATTTAGGCAGTCCTAGGTTTTTTTTTGAGACAGGGTCTCACTCTGTTACCCAGGCTGGAATGTAGTAGCACAATCATGGCTCCCTGTAGCCTCGACCTCCTAGGCTCAGGTTATCTTCCTGCCTCAGCCTCCTGAGTAGCTGGGACTAGAGACATGTGCCACCATGTCTGGCTCATTTTAAATTTTTTGTAGAGATGGGTTTTGCTTTATTGCCTGGCCTGGCTTTGAGCTCCTGGGCTCAAGTGATCCTCCTGCCTTGGTCACTCAGAGTGTTGAGATTATAGGTCTGAGCCACCACACCCAGCCAGTTCTAGTTTTTAATTGGCCGTTTTACTTAGAGTCACCAAAAGGAGCGATATAGCCTTGCTTCTGGTGCTTACTTAGCAGAGGGATTATGGATTGAAAATTTCCTTTAATGCTAGGCTACTTTTAAATTTTAACAGTGTCCAGTTTTTACCAGGATGATATAATGAAAATAAAATAGTGACACCAAGCAGATTAATACCACAGATATTCCTCATATTACTGGAACAGAACTGGCTGAAACCTGGGCCTGATATCAGTGGTGACTTTAAAGACTTAAAGCTGTAATAATTCTTGGAAAAACCTGAGGGAATTTGAGTGACAAAATGTGGAGAAAGGGGAAATGGCAAATAATAAAATCTCAGATTACAAATTCTGTTTTTATATGGATTAATTTGTTAAATGTGAGAATCGAAGGCTTCTGTTTATGTTGCAGGTACATGGTTTGTGTAAGTGTTGTGTTCTGAGTGTGTTTTATTGAATAAGCTTTACCTTTGTAATCATGTAGTGTACTCACTTTTGTTTAGCCCTTCCCCTCCCCAAACAAATGGCAATTATAGGATTCCCAGCTTCTTTTCAGCATACTACAGAATAAGTGAAATCTGAATTAATGAGATCCTTCGTTAGGTAGGAAGTTTGAACAGACAGTTATTTAAATTTTATGAAATTTCTTCTCTTGTGTGCTTATTTCTTAGTAGCTGATTTCTTTTTATTATTGTTATTTATTTTTATTTTTGAGATGGTGTTTTGCTCTTTTACCTAGGCTGGAGTGCAGTGGTGTGAACTCAGCTCACTGCAACGTCTACCTTCTGGTTTCAAGTGGTTGTCCTGCCTCAGCCTCCTGAGTAGCTGGGATTATAGGTGCCTGCCACTACGCCTGGCTAATTTTTGTATTTTTAGTAGAGATGGGCTTTCACCATGTTGGCCAGGCTGGTCTTGAACTCCTGATCTTGTGATCCACCTGCCTTAGCCTCCCCAAGTGCCAGGATTATAGGAGTGAGCCACTGTGCCTGGCCAGAAATTGATTTCTTTTAGAAGTTTTAATAGTAGAGTCTTCATAAGAACAAAAGAATATAGTTTTAACAGCTTAAAAACCAATGGAATTTGAAAGTATTTTAAAGGTTTTTAATAGGGTAGGCTTCTTTATCTCACATGTCTAACCTTTCTATCTTTGAATTACAATTAAAGCTTCAAATGATCTGTTAAGCACCTGTAAAGCATACAGAAAGGAAATGAGGGGTATTTCACCCTTTCAGAATCCTTTAATTGACATAGACTCATAAAAGTAATTCAGTAGTTTAAGTAATAGATTATGGAGGTGCAATTGTTCTAGAAATTATGTAATTCATTTTCATGCTTTTGATTTTACGGATCAGTAAAAGAAGACTGAGGATGAACAGAATCACTGTTAAAGTCATACTGTGAATTTGGTAGCAGAGCTTGAGCTGAAACCCACTTCCTTTGATCTTAGTTCAATATTCTTTCTCTCCTCACCTCTTTTATATGCAGTGCTTGGGAACTAATATATCACATTGCTGAGAAAATTTTCAAGTTGAGTTATAAAAGCAGGAAGATGTAGAATAATAAAATCATTAATGTGTATATATTTTGTTGTGGTTTTTTTAGTGTGCAACTTGCTTTGGTGTTTGCAGTTTTATTGCCACAGATGACATTACTGTAAGTAAAAATCCTTTGATTCTGGTTATCTGCAGTTACTTCTAATTTAAGATGGCTACCTTACTTCATATTCTTATGCATTAGGAACTGTACTCAACTCTGGAATGTTTGGAAAATATCTTCACTAAGTCCTATCTCAAAGAGAAAGACACCACTGTTATTTGCAGCACCCCTAATACAGTGCTTCATATCAGCTCGCTTCTTGCATGGACACTACTGCTGACCATATGCCCAATCAATGAAGTGAAGAAAAAGCTTGAGATGTATGTGTTTTTAGTTTCATATTTTATAAAAGCACCGTTTAGTGGACGTGATTGGTTGTATTCACATAGTAATGACTAACTGTTTTTTAGGCATTTCCATAAGCTTCCAAGCCTCCTCTCTTGTGATGATGTAAACATGAGAATAGCTGCTGGTGAATCTTTGGCACTTCTGTTTGAATTGGCCAGAGGAATAGAGAGTGTAAGTATCTGACTGGCAGAGGAAACAGCTTATGTCACAAGGCCCATTATTCTATCATTACCTTGGAATTAAGAATTGAACAATAACTTTGGAGCATGGCCAGCTTGAGAACCCAGTGACTGATTTCCCTACTTCTTGGCAGTGGTAGTGTAATACTCCAGAGAGCGAAACCAGTAGGAGTTGGTAGAGCAGTGTTTGACTGTGGTTCATTATACTTAAATTTTGCTATCTATAGAACTGAAGTTTAGGGATGCTTGACTACTCATGGAGAGAGTTTTGTGTATTATAATCTGTATGGAACTGCTTGGATTTCTCAGATACCCAATATATCAAGCTAATGTAGGTCCCTGATGCTTCATAATTAATATCAAACAAATGAATAAAAGTTTAAGTTAGCATAGGTTTGGGATGAGAAGGGTTCAGTCATTGTTGTTTAGCTTCTCTTAAGACAAAGATGGAAATAAACTGGGACATGTGCTTTGCAGTAACCCATTCACGTGTCCTGGATGTTGGTTGCCATAGCTTGGCTCTCCAAGGGATTTGAGTTTGTGATAGTTTAACCAGCCAACCCAGTTTTCTTTGTACGTGTTTTCGATTTAGCACTGAAAGTCTTATGTTCCGGGAAATCCTTTATCTCAGGCAAACTGGGATGATTGGTAACCCTAGTTTGTCATCTCTATTTTAAGGAATGCTAAGAGAAAGGAATGCCTCAAATCTTACCATTGGAAGGAATAATTTGTTCTTACGATACGTGATTCAGATATTGTGCTGATATTTAGAAATAAGGAGCAGGTTTTACTGCCTTCACACTGAATCTGTGAAGGATCCAATAAGAAAATTCAAATATATGGGAAATGGGTAACTCAGTAGTAGTTATTATTGCCAACCCTGAATTACTTACTAGATGCTTTTTAATTTAAGGAGAAAGATTGTATTTTCAGAATGAAACTTTTGCATTTAAAGTAGTTATTTACAGTGAACAGTTCCAAATAGGATTAATATAGTTCTGCCATGTACAGTCATTCATATTCCATTCTAGGGCTATGTTTAATAAGGTTTACAGTCTTAAAATTTTTATGTGTGAAGTAGCTCTCTCCATCTCCCCACACCCCTTCTTTTGTTTAAGGGATAGTAGGTAGAAATGGAAAGTAAGTTAATGTAGTCAGTAGCTAATGATTCTCCTTATGTGAGAAATTGGACTCAAATTTAGCAATCAATTTAATTTTATTGAGCCAGTTAATAGCTTCTTAACCTCAAGGCACAGAAACCAGATGTCCTAATTTTTAATCTTACATTCTTCAACTAGCCAGAAATGGCAGTTTCTTTTCTTTTTTTCCTTGGAAATGTATCTTTAAAATGAAGTAATAATGCAATTTAAATTATACATGTTGAACTTGTTTAAGTTTGTATAAACATAAAAATGTGTTGCCACCCACATATCTTTTCTCCAACTTAATAAATTATACGGGATAGCCAGGAGAATTCATCCAGACATATTTCATTTGACTTGAATTCTTATCCAAGGACAAAAATGAACTGAGTTACAAAATAGAACCTAGTGTTTTTATTTATTTTTTAAAATAAGCTTTTTATATGTGTGTGCTGGTGGGGATAGTAATAGGGTGTTCAAAAATTAAACCAGGGCGTTAATGAAATACATAGACAGATTCAAAACAGGGTTTTTCAGCAAAGGAGTTTTGAATTATGGCCTTTTGCTAACTTATTTTTTGATGTTATTAACCTTGAAGTCTGCCTGAGAGACTTGGAAAAAAACTTCTGAAGAGCTTTTAGGTTGGAATTTAATGAATGAGTTGGTTAAATATCAATAATAAACCATGTGTTCAAAGTTGAAAATAGTAATTATTACTCCTTTATGAGAGTTCCAGGTTAGTGGATATTTGCCATATAACCAATTAGATGATAGTGGACTTTGAAATTGTTCTGCCTACCTTTAGATCGCTCTCTCTGTCTTACTAGTTGGATAATATTGGGCAACTTCTCTATTCCTCAGTGTCCTTATCATTAAAATGGAGAGATTATTAGTCACTACTTCATAGAGTTGTTGAGAACACATGATAGGTACAGTATAAATGTTAGCTGTTATTTAGAACGTTGCTTGAATTGAGTATTGCCTTTGGCAGTAGTCTACCAGTGGCATTTTAGGAACTCTAGGGCAACTTAATATAAGAGGTATTGTTTGGTGGGCAGAATTAAGATCTTGGGAGCCATGTAATGTGCTGGTCCAATCCTAACTTGGGAAAATTGAACAAAATAAAATATAGTTAGACCTTCTCCAAGTCTCATTCCCCAGCTGAGCAGATGGGGGAAGTGCTATGGTATAGAGAGAAAGAAAAAAGACAAAGACCAAATATACTTCTTGGGGCCAAGTCTGAAATCACTTAGATTTTATATTCAGAAGCAGCAACTTAGCATTCTTCTTGTTTTTGCTTTTGCTTTATAATAACTAACCCTGTGTAAAAATATCTCCATACCTTGACAATGATATTCTGCCTTGATTAGCAGGATTTGAAATAAATATAAGTCTTTTTTAAAACAGGGTCTCACTCTGTTGCCCAGGCTGGAGTGCAGTGGAACAGTTATAACTGATTGCAGCCTCAGACTTCTGGCCTCAAGCAATCCTCCCTCCTTCTCCCAGAGTGTTGGCATTATAGATGTAGAGCCACTGTGACTGGCCTCAAGTTTTGTTTTAATATTTGGCTTTTGTTTGATTTTTATTTCTTAATACTTAATTATCTAAGACCTAGCTTATTTTGTTTATAGTGAGTGTTCCATGACTTCTATATAGAAATAATAAGTTTGGGGAATGGTTAGTTTTTGTGATCTTAAGCATCTCACCCTGTCTGCCTAAACTTTTCCAGAAATTTTCTTTGGTTTCATTTCATCCTAATTCCATTCAACTTTTGAAACCATTTAATTGATTGTAACTCTTATTTTGCTATGAAATAATTATCTTCAGCTGACCAGTTTGTTGTATTTATATCGTGCATATCGTAACAGTAGAATCTATAACTTAATGAATGTTTATGTCCTGTGTTTTATATATTTCTAATAGTTCATTTCCTTATAATAAACCTATGATATATGGGTAGTAATAACTGTTATATAAGAAGAGCCTGAGACAGATTGATAATGTAGTTTTGTCTGAGGTTGTATAGAGCTATGTGGTGGATGCTTGTGATTCAAACCTAGATGTTCTGATTGCAAAACCTATGTTTTATATAAGACATTAAACTGTCTCATATGGTTGTGATTGCCACACAGATTTTTTTTAAAAAGTGAGTTCTCTATAAATTCCTGTAAGTCTAGATTATTGATAAAATAGTTAATGCTTCAGAATTTATTGGGGAATTAAGTCTTTTTAATGCTTACAACCATTGTTTGAGAGGGTAGATAATATCTTTTTTTCAGATGATAAGATAGATTTATAATTTATAAAACTTGGTGTGGAGAGTAGTAGATTTGAGATTCTAATCCAGGACTTTTGACCCTGTTGTGTAGTAATGACCACTATTTTCTTTTTATTATTGATAATATATTAAGATATTTACTTATTTCTGTGGGAGCCCATTTTTTATTTGTCCCGGAGTGGTACAGCTCTATTATATAATTATCCTAAACTCCAATTAATAGGTTTTTAGAAGCTGTTTATGGACTATTTTTGTTACATGTTACATTTTATTTCCTCCTTCCTTTATTTTTTCTTTTTAATGCCCAAGTACTCTATAGAGCCTTTTTTCTAAAATAGTTATTAGCATTTAATTTTTCAGGTTTTAGTAGGGTATTGAACTTGGTGATTCACAAACTAAACTAGATTGGGTTTTATCTATTGCTAAGATCTTATTACGGTGGAGTTTTTTTTTTTTTTTTTTTTTTTTTTTTTTTCGGTGAGACAGAATTTTGCTCTTGTTGTCCAGGCTAGAGTGCAGTGGCGTGATCTTAGCTCACTACAACCCGCCTCCTGTGTTCAAGTGATTCTCTTGTCTCAGCCTCCTGAGTAGCTGGTATTACAGGTGCACATTAGCCACCACGCCCGGATAATTTTGGTATTTTTAGTAGAGAGGGGATTTCATCATATTGGTCAGGCTGGTCTTGAGCTCCTGACCTCAGATGAGCCACCTGCCTCAGCCTCCCAAAGTGTTGGGATTATAGGCATGAGCCACACGCCTCAGCCTCCCAAAGTATTGGGATTACAGGCGTGAGCCACTGCGCCTGGCTTACAGTGGAGTTTTTAAACCTCAGCACTAGTGATATTTTGGGCTGGATAATACTTTGTTGTTGTAGGGGCGCAGGCTGTATTGCTCATTGAAAGATATTTTGCAGCATCCTTGGCCTCTCTCTACTAGGTGCCGATAGCACCCCCTCTCCTTGTGACAACCAGAAATGTCTCAGACATAGTCAAAATCCAATGGGAGGTAAGAAGATCATCCCTAGTTGATAATCACTGGCAGTGATGTTCAGTTCTTAGAACAAATTAAAATAATGTATAGAATTTTCTTAAATTTTGATTTATTCTTCTAGGTTTAAAAACCGTTTACATATACATGTATATACATACACATATATTTAGAATACTGTAAAAGAACAAGTAACCAATAAAATGATTAGGAAACTGCTAGTCTCTGAAATATACTTGTTCTTTATAAGTAAAATTACGCCTATAACAATTAGATTGTTATGATGCAGTCTAATTTATTGGAATTTAAACACAGAGATCAACTTAAGTTTGGTCTATTTTAATACCCACTTTGCATCTTTTTAATGGGTGTTGTCTCTAACTTAGATATAGGAGGTTGAATTTGAAACCTTTGAATAAAACATTTATTGGAATAATTAAGACTATGTAATTGGAAATAAGACAAGAAGGCATTTATATACTTAAAAGTTAGAATATCTGTCACATTAATTTCAAGCTTATTTTCTACCAGTGTAATAATCTTTTTCATTTAGACATTAAAAGAAACCAAGAATACTCAGAAGAGCTGTTTGTTTTAATAGAGTAAGTTTCATGATTCTTAACCTGTAATGCAATAAATGTTAAACATGGATGAATAAACTAGAACTGGAGATTGCCCATCTCCTGGCTTCTTAGTAAGAAGTGTCTGTTCTAGTTTTGATCAACTAAATAAGTTTGACTCATATTTTAGTTTTTAGTGTGGTTGTAAAATGGAGTTAGGGAATAAAAACACCACAAATAAAGAGACTTCTTAAATGCATAGCCACGTTGACTGTGACAAGGAAGCCTGTAATCTGCTTAAGGTTATAGCAAATTTCAGTACATTTTGTAGCTGCCCCCCACAAAAAGGATTAAACCTTGTTCTTGCCTTAAATAATTTAATCACCTGAATTATGTGCTGTATTAGTTATTTGAAATATGGCAGTAAATTATGAAGTAGGTGCTTTAAAAGCACTAATAGTAGCTTTACACCTTTGGGGTAAGAATAATTGGAATTCTGTGAATATTTGGTTTGGGAATTGGAGAGTCAAAGGGTAAAAGCTATATTGGTATCTGTCTCTTACTGAACTTTGAAATGCCAGGGATGTCTTATATATGGTAGGAACACAGTATTTGTTGGATACATATACTTGGAAATATTAATTCTTTTGCTCTAATACATCATCTTGTAGTCAGCATTTCTGGGTTAAATTTTTACATGAAAATATGTGTGTGTGTGCCTAGTCCCTAAACACCTTGAGGAATTGAGCAATGCTCTGTGCAACTGGGTATTTTCCAAAGGTACACTGTTCTTTGTTAGCTCTATATGAGGTTGGAAAAGAAAAACAATAATAAAGGAAACAAAATTGCTTTTTTTGAACAGGACTTTTTTTATGAAGACATGGAGTCTTTGACGCAAATGCTTAGGGCCTTGGCAACAGATGGAAATAAGCACCGGGCCAAAGTGGACAAGAGAAAGCAGCGGTCAGTTTTCAGAGATGTCCTGAGGGCAGTGGAGGTAGGCTTCTTAAATGCTGTAATAGCGTCTCAATTTGAAATTGGATTGTTTCAAGCTAAACTTAACAATTGGGTCCTTTTGTTGATTGAATTTCACCTTTGGAAATAATTTGTCATTTTACGTCATAGCAGTATTTTAACAATATAAGTGAAGACTTTTTTTTCAAACAAAGGAAAATTAATGCTGATCTATAAAGATACTTTTTTTTTGTTTAGTTTTTTTTTCTTTTAAATAAAAAGACCCATAGTGATAGAAATGTATTTGACCTTGGTGTATTTTTCATTTAAACAATGGTGCTTAAATACATTCTTAGTGTACAGTGTTTTTTATGAATGTAATAAATTACTGCCTACTCCTCAGACTTCAACTCAGCCTCATTGTCTTTAAACAGAGATCTTTGTGATCTTTCTAGGAAAGCTGGAGGCTAAAAACTGAAATAATGAAACCCAGCATTTTGACAAGGCCACTTAAAATCATTATCTAATGCTGGAATTTCTTCTGTCCTCAAACCTGTTTCAATTTATATGGCAAATAAATTAGTTTAGAATGCATGGCTAGAATGAACTACAGGATAAAAGTCTCAGTGGAGAAAACTGAAAACTTTTAGTAATTGTTTTTGGTTGGCTAGGTAAAATATTTCTTGGATTTAAAGGACATGTTTCTTAGATTATTGCTGTTTGATATAGCAGTTGTTTTAAGAGTAAGTATATCATCAGAATGTCATTCAACTTGATGTGTGTGTGAAAATTTAAAATGGGAATTTAAACTGAAAATGGTGAGGCCCCACTCCAGATCCAATTTTAATATGTTCCAGTGAATTCTTATATGTATCCTACTTTCTTAATTTTAATCTATTTTTAGAAAAGTAAAATCTAGGATACAAATTAGATCCTTTCGGATCTACATACTTTGGTTAATGCTGACTCTTTTTTTTTTTTTTTTTTTTTGAGACGGAGTTTCGCTCTTGTTACCCAGGCTGGAGTGCAATGGCGCGATCTCGGCTCACCGCAACCTCCGCCTCCTGGGTTCAAGCAATTCTCCTGCCTCGGCCTCCAGAGTAGCTGGGATTACAGGCACGTGCCACAATGCCCAGCTAATGTTTTGTATTTTTAGTAGAGACGGGGTTTCACCATGTTCACCAGGATGGTCTCAATCTCTCGACCTCGTGATCCACCCGCCTCGGCCTCCCAAAGTGCTGGGATTACAGGCTTGAGCCACCGCGCCTGGCCTAATTTTTTTATTTTTATTTTTATTTTTTTTGAGAATGCTGACTCTTATCACATTATAATAGTATTTTATATTTACTCTGGATTTTATAGATTAAAAAGCAAAAAACCTCCCAACTTTAGCAAATATCAAGAATTGAAATTAGTCTTATAATTAGTGTGGTTGTATCTCTAAAGTAAGCCATTTTCTTTAAGTAACTATAAACTATTCCTATATATTTTTTTAAGATACTGTAGTCTCCAAAGATACGATGTCATGTCCTATATTTTCTGGGTGGACCTGACCTGATTTCGGGTTCTCTGCCCTAATGCGTCTTCTTTAAGTAGTAGATTGTAAGGGTCACCAGAACCTGGTGATTGAAAGGTTCCTGTCCATTGACAAGCCCCTCAAACCAGGCCAGCCATAGCACTCATTACTGATTATTCAGAGGAAGACACAAGTGACATTTCAGCTTACACCAGCATTAACAGCCTCTTGTGAATTTCTCAGGCTCTGTTAAATGGAGGCCATTCCTATCCCATAGTTATCTATCTGCCTGCCCACTTTTCTTCATCTCAGGATCTTCCTTGTCCCTCCAGCCTCTGCTTCAATGCACCTGCCCAAGAAAGACGTATCCTCTGGGCCTTGCTAAGGATTCTTGTTTCTCTTTTTCTTTTTCCCACTGGAACCTAGCTTTTTCTGGAGCACCCAGTTTCCTGATGGGTCTTTTAAATGAAGGTTGTTCTACTGCCACAAAGGAGATGTAAGCATGTTAGGTTTGGTAGTGGCTGCCACACCATTTCTTTTCATTTAAAACCTTGAGGCTCATGCATTCCTTAAATCAGCAAGCACTTAATATGTTAGGTGCTTTGCTATACAGTTATCTTATTTCATTATACCTCTTAAGCAGTGGAATTGTCTCCTTTTGAAGGAGAAATGGGGACCAAGGGAATAGTTAAAGAATAGTTAAGTAGTAGAGTTGAAATTTGAACCCACTGTTCTGTGCTCTTTGAGCATGTCCAAATGCTACATACAGATAGGTCAAGCGAGAGAGTAACCAGTTTCACTTAGGTCTGTCGATTAGATCATTGGTGACCTTTCTAAGAGTAGCTTCAGTGGAGTGATGGGGGAAAAGCCAGACTGAAATAGATTGAGAAGTGAGAGGTGAATAAGTGAAGATGGCATGTCTTGACTATTTTAAAAAGCATGGCAGTAATGGAAAGGGGAAGAGTGTTGATAGCTGGAATGTAGTGCTGGTTGTGGGAAGAATTGTTGTTTTGTTTTGTTCTAAATACTAGAGATGATTTATGAAGAAGGAACCAGTGGAGAAAGGAGCATCTGAAAATGTAGTCTGTTCCTTAGTATCCATGGGGCATTGGTTCTAGGACCACCCCCCAGCCCCGATACCAAAATTTGAGTATTCAAGTCTCTGATATAAAACGGCATAGTAATTTGGCTGGGTGTGGTGGCTTATGCCTGTAATCCCAGCACTTTGGGAGGCCGAGGCGGGTGGATCAACTGAGGTCAGGAGTTCAAGACCAGCCTGGCCGACATGGTGAAACCCCATCTCTAAATAAATAAATAAATAAATAAATAAATAAATAAATAAATAAAATGGCATAGTATTTGCATATAACCTATGCATGTATGCATTAAATCATCTGTAGATTACTTGTAATACCTAATACAATGTAAGTGCTATGAAAATAGTTGTTATACTTTATTATTTAGAGAATAATGAAAAGAATAGTCTGTAAATGTTCAATATAGTTGCAGTTTTTTTCTGAATATTTTCAATACGTGGTTGGTTGAATCCATGATGCAGAACCAACCAGATATGGAGGGTTGACTATATATGAGAAAGATTGGGATTAACCTTGAATTGTGGAGGGTCGGAGGTCTGTCTGTTACCAACAGCAGAGGGGGTATAGGGAAGGATGCTGATGACGTTAATAGAGGGTTGGTGGGAAATAGTTCTTTCCTGGTGCCCTAATGTTTTCTGAAATAAAGAAGATTGAAATTAAGAGGACTCTATTGTTGTTTTGAGCTCGTATGTCACTGTGTTTGCCTCAAATGCATGTCCTCTCTTACACCTCTAATATTCCTCATGCAGTCTAGGTAAAGACAGCCTCATTTTACAGGCAAGGGAACAGACTCAACAAGGTTAAGTTACTTGATGAAATCACAAGCCTGCAAGTTGCATGTCCATCTTAAGTATAGAGTTTTCATTCTTTTCTTTCTATTGCATTATATACTGTGTCTGCTGAGTGAGAAGGGGCTGAGGGCAGGTGGAGTGGTTTTGTCCTTCAAGTTCCAACTCCTTTCTCCTCTCCCTGTGGCAGTCAGCTCCTCCTCCCTTCCTGGTTACTCTGACATATTCATGATTTACCGAAGAATTAAGGAGCTAGTTTCTTTCTTAACAAGTTCTGCCAGCGTTAACAAGTTCTGCCACTGTTCCCGCTGACTTTTTTTTTAAATCCATCTGACTTTTATTTCCATGTCATCTGGGCTGCAAACTCCCATGGTTATACCTTAGAAATGTCTTCTGACAGAATTGTTCCATCACTAAAATCTTCGATTCTAGTGTTACCTCTTATCTTATAAACCTAGCCTGAGACCTCTTGGAACCCTCTGGTTGCTGGACCTTTCCTTTTTGCTTGGTCAGTTAACCCCATTTACCTTCACTTTCTTCCCTGGATCTCTGCTGCCCGTCATTTCACCCCGTTTGTGGTGCCATTTTGTTTTCCTGACTGTTCTGCAACCTTCTTCCCTCTCCCATCCTAGACCAGTATAAGCACCTGACCTTTTTTTAAGTTTGTTGAGAGCTGTTGAAATTTAAGTGTTCTCAACAGCGTAGTTTTGCCTTAATAGTTATTGAAACTCAGTTGTGTCTTTAAGTCTATAAAAGCTAGACAAATTCCACACCCTTATATATAGGATGGCAGTTATTAGTTTGTCCACATCTGAGGTATGGCAGTATCCATTTCAGCTGTATTATTCATTTATGTCAGCATGTATATGACTGTTTGTGTTTACATGATGTGGGCCATTTTAGTGTTTTTGGTAATTTTGGTTCTTCCATTGGTTAGGAACGGGATTTTCCAACAGAAACCGTTAAATTTGGTCCTGAACGCATGTATATTGATTGCTGGGTAAAAAAACACACCTATGACACCTTTAAGGAGGTTCTTGGATCAGGGATGCAGTACCACCTGCAGGTAAGTGTCATCCTTTCTACGAATTTGCTTTTAAATTAGGGAGCAGTCGTGAATGTAGCCCACTTAATTGGCTTTTGGATTAATTAGTTATTCAGTATGTTTCCACATATCAGAAAACAGTAAACTTGTTTTTGAAAGTAGAATTGAATAAACCCGAAACTGTTCCTTTTTTTTTCTTTGTGTTGGGCAAGTCGGGTGGACTGTTACCGATGTCTGTATGAAAGCAAATAGCTTGACATAGCTTTCTTGGATTCAGGGCATTGGAAAACAATTTGTTCTCAGTCTGAGAAACAGAAAATAAGTGATCCAAGTTTATATTTGTAGGTTCCACATAACTTCCGTTAATCAGAGTCACTCTAGCGAAAAAGAGCTATAATGTTTAATACTGAGCCTTACCACCTTTTTCTTTCACATAAGTCAAATGAATTCCTTCGAAATGTATTTGAACTTGGACCCCCAGTGATGCTTGATGCTGCAACACTTAAAACGATGAAGATTTCTCGTTTTGAAAGGGTAGGTTTTATTTTTATTTTTTATAAAACTAAGTGGGCCAAAGCTTTGATTCCTCTGGTGTCAGCAACTTAACTGTGTCTACCTATATATGGAGTTTTAGTTTTTCATGATGCTTCACACAGAATAGCTGTACTAAAGGTGTAGAAAGCATTTAGAGTATGGGATATATAGATATATATATGTTAGCCTGGGTGATAAGGGTGAGACCTTGTCTCAAAAGCAAAACAGAAAAAATATTGCTGCTTATCTGCCCCATGAGGTATATTTTATTTTATGAAAGGCATTTTGACAATACATTAAAATTTAATATACATGTATTTTACCTATAATCCTATCTTAACATAGGAATGATGTTCATTTTTTGTTTCTTTTTATTCTATAAAGTTTTTATATTTAAGTATTTACATAGTCCTTTTATATCAGATAGTAGTCTACTAAGTGAAGTACCAGACTTATTTTACAAATGAAGAAACTTAAAAGAGATTGTAGCATTAAATAGTAATTAATAACATTTTTATTTAACATTTCTTTTTTTTTATTTTGAGACAGAGTCTCACTCTGTTGCCCAGGTTGGAGCACAGGGGCATAATCTCTGCTCACTGCAACCTCCGCCTCCCAGATTCAAGCGATTTTCCTGCCTCAGCCTCCTGAGCAGTTGGGATTATAGGTGTGGCCCACCACGCCCAGCTAACTTCTGTGTTTTTAGTAGAGATGGAATTTCACTATATTGACCAGGCTAGTCTGGAACTCCTGACCTCAGGTGATCTGCCCACCTTGGCCTCCCAAAGTGCTGGGATTACAGGCCTGAGCTAACACACCTAGCCTACATTTCAAAAATCCTTTATTATATGTATTTTTTTCCTTGAGGTGAAATTCACATAGCAGACTGTTTTAAAGTGTACAATTCAGTGGCATTTACTACATTCATGATATTGTACAACTTTGTCTAGTTCTAAAACATTGTCACCTCAAAAGTAAACCTCCTCTTAATTAGCAGTCACTTACCTTCTGCTACCCCCAGCTACTGGTAACCACTAATCTGCTTTCTGATTTATCTGATTAATATGAAAAAGATTTACTTTTTCTGGAGATTTCATGTAAATGGAGTTACATAGCATGCAACCTTTTGTGTCTGGCTTTTTTCATTTAGCATAATGTTTTGGAAGTTCATCCATGTGGTAGCATGTATCAGAGAGCTTTATTCTTTTTTTTGTGGCAGAATGATATTGCATTTTGTGGATATATACTGTATTTTGTTTATCCATTTAACAGTTGATGGACATTTGGGCTGTTTCCATCTTTTGGCCATTGTGAATGGTGTTGCTGTGAGCATTCACATACAAGTTTTTTTTTTTTTTAAAGGCTCTTTTCAATTTTGGGAGGTATTACGTAGGAGTGGAATTGTGCTGGCTCAGATGGTGATTTTACATTTAACTTTCTCGGAAACCACCAAACTGTTTTCCATAGCTGCTATACCAGTTCGCATTCCCATCAGCAGTGTGTAAAGGTTCCAGTTTCTCCACATCTTCACTAATAATAATTTTAATCATAGCCATTCTGGTGGGTGTGAAGTTGTTTAATTATATTTTTATAGAACCTGGATATTTTATCAGTTTTATATCTGCGCAATTGTTTGTTGTATGGTATTTTGAGTTTTTTAAGACATACTAATATTTTTACATATTTTTCTCTTTTGAAATATTTTTTCGAAGAAATCCCCTGCATAATGTATTGGCAAATTACCTCCCAAAGTTATTCTAATATTGGAGACAGTATTTAAATTGTCTCCAGCAAGGAATGAAGGCATGTAGCTGTTACACCAAGATTTGACACCTTTGAGTTTTATAATTATAAACATTTGTTTATTTAATTGTTATTAAAATGATACCTCATCACTTTTTCCCTTGTTGTTTTAATTGACAACCAAGTAGGACTGTTTTCCACATTAGTTATTTGTCTTTTCTTGGATCAAACTAAACGTTGATGTTCTTTTTTCATTGTTGTTGTTTGAAATTGTCTTATTTTCTTGGTGTTTTACAATTTCATTAGGACTTTTCTAAATAAGGAATAGCCATGAACTCTTTGTTTTTCTCCTTCGTTCTTTGTGTATGTGTTTTATAAACATTTAAATGTGTGTTTTTGTTTTATTTTTTTGTTTTTTGTTTTTTGTGGTGGAGTTTCTCTTGTTTCCCAGGCTGGAGTGCAATGGCACTATTTCGGCTCACTGCAACCTCCACCTCCCAGGTTCAAGCAATTCTTCTGCCTCAGCCTCCTTAGTAGTTGGGATTACAGGCGCCCGCCACCATGCCTGGCTAGTTTGTGTATTTTTAGTAGAGATGGAGTTTCACCATGTTGGTCAGGCCTGTCTCAGCTTCTGACCTCAAGTAATTCACCTGCCTTGGCCTCCCACAGTGCTGGGATTACAGGCGTGAGCCACTGCACTCTGCCATATTTAAATGTATATAGGGTCAGATTAGTTCATTTCTTTTCTTTGTGACTTTTTACCCTTTTTCTGTTTTATAAGAATATCTTAAGTCTTACTAATACATGTTTTTCCTTTTCTTCATTTCAGCATTTATATAACTCTGCAGCCTTCAAAGCTCGAACCAAAGCTAGAAGCAAATGTCGAGATAAGAGAGCAGATGTTGGAGAATTCTTCTAGATTTTCAGAACTTGAAGACTATTTTCTAATTTCTATTTTTTTTCCTATTTCAATGTATTTAAACTCTAAAGACAGTTTTTATCTTGGATTAACATAGATAACTTTTGTAGTAAGGGTTACATTGCTTATAATTTAATGTACAGTGTTCAAACTGGTGAGTTCTGATTATTATTCTCTGTAAATCAGTAAACATGTATAAAGTGTTTGTAATGTTTTGTCATATTTTATTTATGAAGACATCAAAAAAAACTTTGATTTCATGATGGGAAAAACTATTAGCCAAAGTTTAATTTCTTACACTGTGGTTGTCAAAAATACTGATTTACTGTAATGATATATATTTAACTTACTGTCTTAGACAAGAGTTCTAGGTACAATTTTGGGATCTAGTTCCTCTGGAAACGCTGCTGTATTTTTAATTTTGAATGGAATGTAGCTTTTAAAATTTTGTCACTGGCATCAACAAAAGGAATTATACCATGAGACCTTACAGCCGTGCTTAAAAGCCGCACAGTTGAGCTATTGGGAGTTCATAATGAGTTAGCATATGCCAGAAAGGTTGCTAATCTTAACCTCTGAGAGCAGTAACATTGATTTTATCTGCTGTATGAGACTTTACATTTTACTTTGAAATAAAGTTTTTTTTTCACATGGAAAGTGCTTCTTTTCTAATAGAAGAAACTTTATTTATGGCTTCAAGGTACAGAGTTTAAGTTGACTAGGCCAGGTGGGCAGAGAGACAAAGCTTTATGTGTATATTTGCAAACATTAAAGCAGTTGAAAAGAATATAGCAATATGTAATTGAGATTATGGTTTCTGACTTTCAAGAATATTGCTGCTTGTTACCTGTAATCATAGCAGTTTGGGAGGCTGAGACAGGAGGATGACTTGAGCCCAGTTTGAGATCGGCCTGAACAACAGTGAGACCCTGTCTCTACCAGAAATTTAAAAACTGAGTGTGGAGGTGTGTGCCTGTACTCTTATCTACTTGGGTGCTGAGGCAAGCAGGAGGTCAAAGCTGCAGTGAGCCGTGATTGTGCCATTGGACTGCAGCCTGGGTGACAAGTGAGACCCTGTCTCAAAAGCAAAACAGAAAAAAGAATATTGCTGCTTGTTTGCCCCATGAGGTATATTTCTTCCTTTTTATGAAAGGCATTTTGACAACACATTAACATTTAATAAACTTTTAAAGGTATAGTACGAGCAACGTGCCATTTCAAATCCATAGACTTGTTTCTTCCTTGCTCTTGCTATAGATCACAGTGAGGGCTATGGAAGCATGTACACTGCAGAGAGAAGTTTCAAAATCATTTAAGGTCTTTTTTCCAAACTAGTGTTCCTCTCCCACATTGCAACGAAGTCTGGTGCTCCTTCTTGGTGAAAATCATTTGCTGGCTTATGGAGTCACTGTTGCTGAGTTCCATCCCCTAGTTACAGTGCAATGGAAAACATTTGGAATCTAGAAGTTGTATGTTGTTACTTGGTTATATTCCAAATAGATTAGGACCATGGAAAAGAGACTGCAAATGGTAGTTTATTCTAAATATGCAATTGCACATATGTATGTATATGTAATTTTAAATGAATTTTTGAATATGAACATAGGCTTTTGCTTTTGAGACAGTCTTACTCTTGCTGAGGCTGGAGTGCAGTAGCGCAATCAGCTCACTGCATCCTCTGCCTCCTGGGTCCAAACGATTCTCCTGCCTCAGCCTTCTGAGTTGCTGGGATTACAGGTGTGTGCCACCACACCTGGCTAATGTTTTATATTTTTAGTGGTGATGGGGTTTCACTATGTTGGCTAGGCAGGTCTCGAACTCCTGACCTCAAATGATCCTGCCTCGGTCTCCCAAAGTGTTGGGATTACAGGCATGAGCCACCGTGCCCAGCTTGAACATAGTTTGATGGTACTACAAAGCTAATAAGGGGAAACCCCTTGCTTCTTTCTTTTCCATTCCTCAGTCCCATCCCAGGAGACATTCAGCCTTCAGTTTTTTCACCCTTCAGTTTCTGGTTTCAGGTTTCTAAATAATATGATTATATAGCCATTTATTTTTTAGGCATTTGTCAAATTATTAAGACATCAAAATTTTTTTTTCCTTTCACATCTTTCTAATATTTGTTTGCATAACTGTGATCATACTTGTATGTTCACTTGTGAACTAGTTTAATGTGCTTACATTTTCATTTTCATGCAACATTTTGTCTTGGAGTTAAATGTCTTATTTTTTGGCTTTATATGCACATCATTTATTCTTCCCAAACGGTCCCAAATAAATTTATTACAACTTTTCTTGATTCAATACTTGTTTCAATCTGGACTAGTTTCTCATCCAGTTGACAGCAGTTATCCTGAGAGAGCAATCGTGAGGATTTGTTTTTCTTTGCTTTGAATTGGATCCCTCATTTTCTGGATCCCATATCTTAATTTACTTCTTTGTTAACATGGAGCACTTCTTTCAGTAGCTTGTTGGGAATGAGTGCATGAAAGGTCAGCTATTCTGGAACTTCATCATATTTCTGAAAGACAGTTTGCGTGGCATATGAAATTCTAGGTGGAAAATCAAATTTGGAACTTCTGAAAATTTTGACATATTCAAAATCAGAATTTTGATGGCATTACTTTATTTGCAAAATCTTGAGATATCTATTGCAGTTTTTGTTTTCTCACAATCTCTTTGTTTCTGGTGTTCTAAGATTGCATGATACTGTGCTTTGGTGGGCTTGGCAACCTGGAAAATAATGAGTTCTTGATTTCTCCCCTTCTCATTTTCTTTGTTCTGGAACTTTATGACATAGTGGAGCTCCTAAATTGAGCCTTCAGCCTTATTATTATTATTATTATTATTTTTCTCTCTGGGATATTTCTCTAAGACAATTTCCCAATGTTTATTGCATTTTATTTTTGGCTAAAATTGCTTGAATTCTGCAGTCAGTCTGACTGTCATTCATCCGTGATAACCCTGCTAGCAGATACCACTCTTCTTACCATGTTCAATACATTTGTGGAGCTCTTCAGCATTGTTTCTTCCTATTTTACTTTTTCTGTTTTGTTTTGTTTTGTTTTGTTTTTGTGAGACTGAAGTCTTGCTCTGTCACCCAGGCTGGAGTGCAGCGGTGCAATCTTGGCTCACTGGAACTTCTGCCTCCTGGGTTCAAGTGATTCTTCTGCCTCAGCCTCCCCAGTAGCTGGGATTAAAGGTGTGTACCACTGCTCCTGGCTAATTTTTTTTTTTTAAGGTATTTTTAGTAGAGATGGGGTTTCACCATATTGGCCAGGCTGGTCTTGAACTCCTGACTTTGTGATCCACCCGCCTTGGCCTCCCAAAGTGCTAGTCTGGTTTTGCAATTTGTACCCCTGTTTTTTACTGGGGTTTTTGGAAGAAGAGGATACAGAGGGTTAATCTGCATGTTGAATTTATATGAGGGTGACTTTATTCATGAAACTTGTAACTGCTAGACAAGGATGGTTCGGTGTTCGATGTGTAAGAATGCTTGTGTTTTCTTGAAAGCAGAAAAATGATGTGTGATAGACTAGTTGTTTCTTGCTTGATTCTTGATTAATCTTGTCCACTTTCATTATTTTGAGGCTCAAGCATTTTGAAATATTTAATGTCTGTGACTCATCTTTGATGGGTACTGAATTTCCTGGGAGTGAATTAGATACCCTGAGATATAATACATGAAAGAAAAAGTCAGAAATATTTGAGAATGTCCCTAGATCAGACACTTCATGTGAGAATATCTCTTTTTGTGACCCAAAACTCTCTTTTTTTGAGATGGAGTTTTGCTCTTGTTGCCCAGGCTGGGGTACAATGGTGGGATCTTGGCTCACCACAACCTCTGGCTTCCGGGTTCAAGCGATTCTCCTGCCTCAGCCTTTCGAGTAGCTGGGATTAACAGGTATGTGCCACCATGCCTTGCTTGTTTTGTATTTTTAGTAGAGACAGAGTTTCTTCATGTTGGTCAGGCTGGTCTCGAACTTCTGACCTCAGGTGATCTGCCTGCTTCAGCCTCCCAAAGTGCTGGGATTACAGGCATGAGCCACTGTCCCCGATCCCAAAACTCTTCTTAAAGGTGGCCTTGCAGGTACGTTATGGTTAAAATGAAGTAAGTTGTCTTGCTTTGTTCTTAAGTGCCTCTCCAGAAGTCTTAACTGGTGTAAAGGCAGTCTTATCTCCCTCACTAGTGTATAGTTGAATTCAGACTTTAATGCCAGGTTTGGGTTTAAATCTCATCTCTGCCACTTACAATCAGTGTATCCCTTAACAATTAAATTCTTTAGTCTCCATTTTCTTCCTCTTTCAGGAAAGGCTAATATTTCACAAAGTTAGATTACAGGAGAGAGGAAAAATAGTAAATGTCCAAAAATGAGGTGGTTACTTCTATTACATCTTCGAAGGATAGATGGCTTACAGCAGATCAGGTAGTTGGGAGATTACTTAAAAACAGTATAATAGCTAACATGAACATTTTATTCAGAGAAATTTGGCATAAATTTTTAATGTATAATTGGTTTCTGATAAAAGTTACTAGTTATTCACTAGTTATATTGTCTTCCTCTCTTAGACTAGGTAGCATGAAGAAAAAAAAGTGACATTCCCCTTCCCGTAAAGCAGAGTGAGGTCCATATGGGACATAGGTGTAAAGAAAATTTGGGGCCGGGTGCAGTGGCTCATGCCTGTAATCCCTGCACTTTGGGAGGCTGAAGTGGGTGGATCATGAGGTCAGGAGTTCAAGACTAGCCTGACCAACATGGTGAAACCCTGTCTCTACTAAAAATGCAAAAATTAACCAGCCGTGGTGGCACATGGCTGCAATGCCAGCTACGTGGGAGGCGGAGGCAGGAGAATTGGGAGGCAGAGGTCACACCACTGCCACACACTGTCACACCACTGTGATGCTGGGATCATACCACTGCACTCCAGCCTGGGCAACAGAGCAAGACTCCATCTCAAAAAGAAAATTTTGTGGAACACGTATTTTCTCACTGACATGAAAAATGTTTCAAAGATGAATACTGTTCGTCAAACCATGGCAATGGAAGTGAGGATATTGGATTGCACAACTGTTTACAGCCTCACTGTTAGTATCCTGCTTGGATAGTTGGTCTTGTCACTGTAGCATCTTTTATGTACAGCAGAGGGCAGAAGCTCCTTGGCATGTATGTGAGGGAACCACATAAATGGCCGATTTCCCTGAGAATGGAGGATGTAAAACACTCACAGAATAAAGCCTTTGTAAAGGAAAGGCGGCTGATGAAATGGAGTGCTTCCTTCATCTGCAGTGGGTCTGTAGTCACAAAGACTCCCACACACAATCACTTTTTGTAGCTAGGCATCTGACCTGCCGCCTTCCTTGTTTATGATGTCATAACCATATTCTGTCCCTGTTCATTGCAGTTCTCTGGTTAGTCTGCAGTGTTTGCAAGTTAGTCTTCAGAGTGGCAGCTCCTGCCTGCTACAGGACATTTATATATGAGAGCATACCATGGCAGGAATGCTGGAAATATGGTGTCAGCTTACACAGTTGCTTCAGCCAAATACGGGCAGTAACTTCAGTCCAATAAAAGCCTCATCACTTAACCAACTAAATCAGGACATGGAATTTTTTTTCTTTTTAAAGCATAGTTTTAGTAATATATTTACTGAAAACC